CCTAAACATAAATACCAATATCAATCAAAAGCACAGATAAGAAAATGAAATTTCAAATTTTAGCCAAAATAACCAGAAATCAAATCTCAACCGCTCAATTTATCAAAATTAACAATCAAATGTTTGACGACATACTGAAAATCTGATCATTTCAGCTAACGGCCACATTGAAAATACAGAAAATGTATGCGGATTTGAAGTGAAGTAAGAACCTTGAGTCCAACTTGCAGAGCCGTGAGCGCGGTTGAGGAAGCCGCGAGAACAAGCCAATGGTCTCAACTGGTTTGGCGTGCGTCCGTCGACTCTGTCAATTTCCATTGTCTTTGGCTTTTAAAATTAACGAAATTGATACTTCCGAGAGGCAAAATAGCTGAGATTCAAAAGCGATACTGAGAGATGTGAAAAATTGTAGCCCAAGCAGAAGAAGAATGGCAAAAGTTGGAGTTCCGTTGATGGGGTTTAGGGAATGGCCGTTCGGGTTTTTGAGGGTCAATTTTGACTTTGCACTCTTCATGTGTTTGATTTTGGTCAACTAAGAATATAGTTTTTATTGTTGTAGGTCTATTTGATTGACTAGGGTTTAGAGAGAGAGAGAGAGGGGCCGGCAATATTGAGGGACAAGAGAGAGTGATTTAATTATGAGGTGTGTTTGATTCAAACTATTGTGCCTTTATTTATTGTAGTAGGATAGGTAAAAATCTTTCCCTTTAGGATTACAACATTTAATAAGTAATCTACTCCTAAAAGGAATATAAGATACTTTCTCATATCTACTAGGATTTACACTATCATATTCTTATTCTAAATATGACTGCAACATTTATTTATTTATTCATTTTTTAAACAAACGTTATTATCTCCACTAATAGAGAGAATCCAAGATCTTTCACTTTACAATTAGATCATAATACTAAGTGACAACTACGAAGATAGTTTATATTCCTTTTCGAACAAAAAAAGTATATGGTTTATGAAGCACAAACGTAGGAATACACACCAGATTGTGTTAAGTTCTATTAAAAATAGGATTTGTAATTTTTATTCAAAGAAAATTAAAGGAAAAATTCTTTGCCGCAGCTCCTGCCTTTGGTTTTGGGGTCAACAACAATCCTCTTGAAAATCATTCTTCGTCTCTTCTTTTTCACTCTCCGTTTACTTTATTTGGTGTTGAATTGTCATGTGAAACGATGTAGTCGTCTTTTGGCCAACATACATAGTTATCACAAGGTTTTGGATCAAGTTATCACCTTCAATATAGGTTTGAAGCAATAAGCCATGTAAGATGTCAAATTGTGTCGGGATCGAGTTTAGGCAGTACGACATTTTGGGTTTAGCCGGTGCAATGATGCAACTTTTGGATGTTCGAAGGATGCGGAGTGGCGACATGATTTTGTCTTTTTATTTTGCTTCTGTTTAGTAATTTGCAGGAATTGTCCTAGAGTTTAGTTTGATTTCTCTATGTGCAAAGTTTGCCAGTATGATTGCTCTCTTTAGGAGAGTGCTTGATTTTCATTTTCATTTTGGTGTGCTGCCTCTTTTGGATTTATGTGTGAAGGTTGGAGCTGTTGATTTGCTGGATCTACTTTATTTGGTGTTTGGGATCATGGCGGTGATTAGCTAATGCGATTGACCCCCTGTCCCAATTTATGTTTGATATATTGTTCTCACTTGATCTCCTTGTAACATGAAGTTTAACAGTTATTGATAAGTGTAATCGTGTTGCTCCTGATGAGCTCAGACAAATGCTTAAAGTCTATTCATTGCTTTGTGATGCTTTATTGTAATATTTTTAGATCTAGTTTGCAAGGACCCTTTTGGGATGAATTCCTTATGATATGTATTTGTAATGCCTTTTTTTATCCATGAATGAAATATCGTACTCTTCTTATAAAAAAAAACAAAAAAACAAAAACATAAAAAGTGCTTCTTAAAAATTATTGGAATTTTTTTTTCTTAAATAAGTAAAGTGCTTCTATAATTTAGAAAGAGAACTGTTATTAGTATTCCAAAAATCTCATTTTACACTCCTCACAAAAAAACAAAAACATAAAAAGTGCTTCTTAAAAATTATTGGAATTTTTTTTTCTTAAATAAGTAAAGTGCTTCTATGATTTAGAAAGATAACTGTTATTAGCATTCCAAAAATCTCATTCTACACTCCTCACAAGTGTATTTTTCTTTCTAATTATAGAAAGTTTGGAGTGCCAAATGAGATTTTGGAGTGCTAATAACAATTCTTTTTATAAATACATACTCTTTATGCCAAACGCATTCACATGTACTTTTGGTTGTCAAAAACATTTTTAATCATTTAGTATGATAATTAGTGGTATTTTCTTCATTTATAGGTATTTCTCTTTATTTGTAAGTGAGAAATCTTAGATTCGAATCTTGTGAATAACAAGTATGAGAATAATTACTAGTCTCACGCGTATCAGCTGGATATTTTGCTACACTCACAAACTCACCGGTCCTGGCAGAAGAGAGAGAGTATGAGAATAATTTATCACCCTATCCTTTAGTATAAATATATTAGTATATTAAAATTAAAATAAACAACGCTTTTAGCCCTTTCACAAGTAGTTCCAAACCTACTGGCCCTGAATATGGTTAGTTTTACTCACTTTATTTATGGTTACAATATCTTATCAGTTTTAGGATTTGTTACAAAAGTAGCAATCTTCTTAGTTCCCAATTTATATGGAACCAAGGTCTAAAATATCGATATTATCCTGATATTTTCATCGAAATTTCCGTGTTTTTGGACTACCGATATTTCCGATATCATCGATATTTTAGACTTTGATAGGAACTCTATATAGTACTAAATCACTCATGTATCTTACCATATAATGTATAAAGTGTAAAATATTGTATTAATTCATTATATATAAATGATTATAGTGTGTTTAAACTTCTTTCATTAATTACTACATATTTTCTACTCACAATGTTTGCCAGCTTGCTATATAATCAACTTAAATCAGTTAAATCCATCATGCAATGCATTTCCTTCCAATTTTTTGTGATAAACTAATAGATAATTGACTAAATAAACATCCTGCAAAGTTTCAATAAAAATTTCCAAGTTTTTCTTACAATTTTCGTGGTTTTTATTCAATTTTTATCGATATCGATAATATCCTGATATTTCCATCGAAATTTCCGTGTTTTTGGACTACCGATATTTCCGATATTATTGATATTTTAGACCTTGTATGGAACACATATGCGTTTGTTGCACCGGACTGTCTTGAACTTAACTAGTTTAAGAGATTAAGCTAGACTGGTTTAGATTAGACTAACCTAAACTAGCTTAGTGAAGCGTTTGGTGCACTGTAGGACTAAGAAGCAGGATTAGACAAAAAAATGAAAAAAAAATACCCCATAATATATAACAAAAAATTTATATTATTTGCTTCAACTTCAATTTCAATCAATGTCAAAATTTTCAACACCCAAAAATCCAGAGCTCACATCTCTTTTTTTTAAATCAGAAAAATGAGGTCATCACTTGTGACGTCACCACTATATACATTGTATGCACACCACATGCACATCATATGTATAGTACATGCATATGCACATAACTAGAGATCGAGCAACGAGTTGTGTTGATGTACAAAACCGGAGGTCTTGGAACAACGTAAATCCGACCGTGAATCTGCAAGTAAAGTAAATAACACAAGATGTATCGTGGTTCACCCCAAGGTTTGGGCTACGTCCACACTGAATATGTATTTATTTGAGGGAGAGAGAGCTCTAAGAGTGAGAGCTTGGAGAGGGGTGAGGAGCCTTAGGAATTGGTCTCCCCTAATTGTGAGGGTGAGGGGCCCTTTTATAGAATAAGGACTCCTCACTTATTACATATTTGCCCTTTCCTTTACCACATAATTACATTTAAGTCCCCTGAGTATTTATACGAGGTCTAAATACGAGACCCTAAATATGGTATAAACAAGTTGTTTTTTGCATTGATAAGAAACTTTAACGGCAACCTATTAATATAGTGGATACAATTAAAACATAATTGTTACGTATATAAGGTAACAATGGTAGTTTGAAAAGTCTTGTTATGTATATCAACCGTCACTTAACCGTGAACGTAGAAAACATGATACTCATCGTTATTTCATAGATACGCATGACCCTTAACGTCTTTTAAGCTTTTTTTTTTTTTTTTTTTTTTTTTTTTGCCGATGCCAACTAGGTTGTGGTCATACTCGTTAAATTCCGGGGCCCAACATACATGCATTATAACTAGTGAACATTCTCGCTTCTTATCTTAAGTTGTAGCCATGCACACCACTTGCACATTACGGAAAAAAATTTCATAAATTTCTACAATTAAACACTTGAACCAGAAACTGTTTTATCCCAGTTTTATAGCACGTCAAAAAGTAAAGTTTATTCCACAATCCATAGGCCCCAACTTGAAACTCAAACCCTAATTTAACTTCTACGTATAAAGTCATCTTACAAACAACCCATTTATTCCCTAAATCATTGATGTAGAACCTTGGAACTAAACACTCTACCTTACTATGCTTGTCGAAGCTTCAGTCGCCGAAAAAAATGAAACCTTCTGGCTAAAACAGAAAATTTGGTACAAAGCCCAGCTCACTCTTCTCACCTCTCTCTCGAATCCCTTTGTTCAAAATCAGAGATATGAGGTTAACTTAAAACCGAGCTCACTCTTCTCACATCTCTTTGGACTTCCCTCTCTTTGAAATATGAGCTCAACTCAAAAACTTAGAGCTCATAGAGCTCTCTTGACATCCCTCTCTTCCAAATGAGAAAAGTGATGGAATGAGTTGATAATTTTTAGTATTTATATGTGGGTATTTTAGTAATTTCAGTTTTGTGCATGGTGTGCATGGCTTGTACATGGCCGAATTGTCTTATTTCTATCCCCAAGATAAAGAAAATGTCCTATTTTTGTCTTCTAAAAATTAAAGTTCAACTGCCGATCGTGAATGGAATTTCATGGCATTGTCGGTAATAATTGATTATATGCTAACTCTCAATTCATGCATGTCATCCTTGCACAAGAGTCATACTAATCTTCATTGCATCGTTCTAATTTTGTAGAATGTTCCCGAAGGAACAATTATATATGGTAGCTCTTGTTGGCCAAAATAACTTTGTGGTAGGCCAATCAGTTATTAAGGAAAGGAAAACGAAGATGCGGAATCTTACAAAAACGTCTTTATCTTATCAACGACCTTACTTATATTTCACGATAAGTGTGTCCACTGCTTTGACAATAATTAAGCAAAGCAAAAGGACCCAATTTCTTTCGGATTAGACGATAATTACAGGACTAGGAGATTGTCATTTTACGGTCAAGACCAAATAGCTTATATACACACAAAATCTTTGTCCAAGCAAAGATTTAGTTTCCTACAGTCCAAGCTTCCTCTTGGAACATTTCATGAACCAAGTCTCAGCTTGAGGGGGTGTAAAGAGTCTAATAGTTCTAGTATAGTTGGAGTGAGTTAGTCAAGGGCTTTCTTGTAATTAGCTGTAAATGTTAGGGTCAAATGTGTACATTGAATTATCAAGTGAATGAAACGAAATGTATTTTTCATACGTTTGAGTTTTCTTACAAGCTAAGTTTCTTTTGAATTTGCCTGGCAACTAGCAATGAGACTGACTTGTGATCTTGACTAATAAAGTAATAGCGTTAGTGAGTTAAATACTTAGTTATTAAGGAAAGAATAAGTGGGGATTGAACCCCACCACAGTACATGAGCATAATTGTTTTTCACTAGTGCAATAAAGCATCATTTACTACTATATTCCTTCATTATTTTCTCTAATCTCTGGCTTAGATTCATTTAAAAGTGAAAAGAAGCAAAATAATGGAGAAATAGACTTGGGGATTATTCTTTGATTATTATAACTGAAATAAAAGTATCCAAACAGTAGTGAAGAGATCCAGCAATTAATCTCTTGACTAACTTTTAATTATGTGTATAAAGCCTCGAACCAAAGGTTGAGTGAGTTATCCTTTAATTCCAACAACAAAAAAGCCATCTTTTAATTGTCTTTAACTTAAAAGTAACATTCACTAATAACATCTTTAATCGCTTTTAAGCTATGAATGTCACTGCAAGGAATAGGAATTCTTACTAAATGAGAAGAAAAATAAATTTGAGAACAAAAGAAAATTTCAAAATACCCTCAAAACACAAAGAAAATTTCACAATACCCTCAAAACTAAAAGCGCAGTTTTTGACCTAGAAAGTGAAACAATCCACTCTACACCCAATGTTCACGTTGTTTTTAGGGAGATTATATTTGAACCCAACATTTCTCTCTAAACTTAGTGGTATTCATTTTCATTTGTAAGTGAGAGGTCTTAGATTCGATTCATATTAAAGGCGAATTCGAACTACATTATTGTTAGCCCATTATGAGGTTTAGCCCTGTCACATCCCAGCCCGGGCCCCCATCACATTCCGGGCTCGACTCTGCCATAACACGATATTGTCCGCTTTGGGCCCTGACCACACCCTCACGGTTTTGTTTTTGGGAACTCACACGAGAACTTCCCAGTGGGTCATCCATCATGGGATTGCTCTTGCGCAAACTCGCTTAACTTCAAAGTTCCGATGGAACCCGAAGCTAGTGAGCTTCCAAAAGGCCTCGTGCTAGGTAGAGATGAGAATATACATATAAGACTTACATGATCCTCTTCTTTGGACGATGTGAGATGTTACAATCCACCCCCCTTAGGGGCCCGACGTCCTCGTCGGCACACTTTCGACCATGAATTGGCTTTGATACCAAATTGTCACATCCTGGCTCGGGCCCCCACCACATCCCAAGCTCGACTCTGCCATAGCATGATATTGTCCGCTTTGGGCCCCAACCACACCCTCACGGTTTTGTTTCTCGGAACTCACACGAGAACTTCCCAGTGGGTCACCCATCATGGGATTGCTCTCGCGCGAACTCGTTTAACTTTTGAGTTGCTCTCGCACGAACTCGCTTAACTTTTGAGTTGCTCTCGCACGAACTCGCTTAACTTTTGAGTTCCAATGGAACCCGAAGCTAGTGAGCTCCCAAAAGCCCTCGTGCTAGGTAGAGATGATAATATACATATAAGGCTTACATGATCCTCTTCCCTGGACGATGTGGGATGTTACAAGCCCACTCCATTATTAGGATAGATAATATTGTTTGTTAAATAAATAAATAAAAAATCTCCCTAAACCCTTAAATACCTTCAATCACTATGATCCCACGTCTCACATTGATTCTCTTATTACTTTTTCTACACCCAACCAAACAAGGGAAAAACATATAAATGTTACAGCCCTATATTTTTGGATACACAAACCCAAAAGTCCATATAATTTCCGATTTTTTCTCGTTGATATTTTCATCACCATCATCATTAGTGTTTGTGTTAATCTTCCTTTCATTAGTGTGTTAATCTTCCTTTCATTAGTGTTTGATTAGTTTCATTTCATCCCAAGAAATGATACTAATGGATGGTCTAAAGTTTCTGCTTTACTTTGTTTAAGATAAGCATGCCATCAAAACAAAATGTCAGCATGTGATCATGTTGGTTTCTTCAATCCAAGGAAGCAACTTCTCCATTAGGGTTTGCATGAATTAAAGGTCTCAATTCTGATAGTTCTTGATTAGGATTTGCAATATGGATTGTTAACGCTCAAAATTTGCAAGTCAAACTCGGACGAATCCGGGTGGATGCTCATAGATTCTAGACGAAACAGTCAAAGATATTGAGCACTTGGTGGGCTTGGGACATGCAATGTGAAATACTGGGCTAAATAGTTACACAAGGATATATGATGATTCACCCATAATCGGGGTTACATACAAAGTGGCTCAAAACCCTAAGTTGGCCTGGTGAAGCGGTGGAGCAAATGCCCCCCATTTCACCCCAACTCTGCCAACCCCTTCTCCCTCTGCCTTACTCCCCTTAAATAGGCAAATAAACACATTTTCTAATGTGTGGCCTCAAAGAGAAGGTGACGTGGCCTCCTTTTATCCATCCAATAAATATCTAGTCTAATAAATATTTTGCCTTGTTTAACATGCCTTCATTTAATGGTAGTCTAGTTGTAGAGCTTCTCGGGAAGCGGTCGTTTGTAGAGTATCCTCCTAGTAGTTTGCCTAGCGCTTCATGCAGAGCACCACATGACGAGTGATGCTAATCCATTAGTCAATTATTCAGCGATGAAGTGACAGTTGCATATTCGGGTGTGCATCCCTCTATAAGTGATGGGAGCCAAGCGACTTGCTTGGGCTCGGTTACCCAATTATGCCTGACCGAGTATCGTTCCCTTCACACCTACGTCCCGTCATAGACTCTGACATTGAATGATGATTGTTACGTGTCGTGAGTTAACGATTGAATAGACATGTTCCTTGAGCCTTGTCCTATAAAGTTGTCAGTCCATCCATGTACTCATGTTAGTCGGAAAGTAGTTTATGTAACCTAGTCGAGTCGAGCTGGTGGCAGTTGGCAATAGCGCTCAGCGAGATCCCTTTCTATGTGGGCCTTGGTCTTCTCCTTTCCCTAGGCCTTAGTCAGGCCTTCTCTTGGGCATGTATTGTTCCTAGGGATCGGAAAAGGACCCTGTATTAACATGGATTTTATCAAAATGTGTTTTATCCCATTTTTTTGGAAAAAAACAGGGACTTTTTTAAATCTTATACACATTTTTCTTTAATGATTCTTTCATATTACAGTAAATTAGGCAATGCATATCTAATTTTTAAGTTAGGTGCAGAGAGATAAATATTGCATTCAAATAGAATTTTCTTTTTCGTTTGTCAAGTTGCTCTTCATTTTACTCTACCATTTATTCTTTGTCACATACTTTCTAATATAGGCTGAATTGGACGCAAATTATTGACTCTATACCAAGTATACAATATTCATGTGTGTAGCTTGACTAACCCGCTGTGGAGTGGATTCACGTGTGGCCTATGACGTGGTTCCATGCGAGCGAGTGTTGAATAATGAGTTACAAACAAGAAACATGAAATGACATGCCGTTTCTATTAAATGGTTTTAATCCTAATTGTACAAAGATATTTTTGTTATAAAACACCACACCTACTGAATCGCATATGTGGGTCGATCGCTTGGCTGTCTCTTTGAACAACTTAATATGTTATCAGATCAAGTCGTTTGATTGGACTCGAATTGGGTCTACTTTGCCTTTGTTGATTTATTAGATTTACCACCTTCCCTGGCTCCACACTTGAATGACCAATGTGAAATTAGTTACATGTTACCTGGTGATTCCACTTGACGAGGGGCGTATTGAGTAATACCTACATGAGAAAATGGACACAATTAATTATGAATTATATTGAATAATTCCACGTCTAAGTACAGCAAAACTTTTTATAAGCAAACCCTCACAGTTTACATTTTGTGCATATAAAAACAAATAAGTTAGTGATTAGTAATAAACCGCTGACACGTCTACATGAAGCTTTGGTCGGTAGTACGCTGTTGAAGATAATTGACAATTGTTGACTGATACGTAATCTAAAAGAGGGTACTACATTGGCAAATGGCATACGAAAATGACCGAGTTTGAAATGGCAGTTTCTTTCTAACGGCCAGAAAAAAGGGGCGTTTCAGTAATTCCAGCAAAAAGGCAAAACCTTCAGCTGAAAGCAACTAGCGAGCGGCAAAGTACATCCAAAAGCGGTAATAAGATGCTCAAATCAAATCCTCACTCACTCACATACTAATCTCAATCACCAGCCGACCTGATCACCAATTCATCATTACAATTCAGATTTTTCAATTCCACACATCAACATAATAATTTTTTCTTGCTTTGCTTTCACTCTCCCTCTAGCTTTTTCCAATTTAATATTTTCTATTTTCTGGTTTTTTAGTTGGTGTTCTTCTCCGGCGAGTAACTGAGGCAAAGCTATCTCTTTTCTTTGATTTTGGAGCTCCATTTGGTTAAAAAAACTTGGACCCAATTGAGAAGAAGCTCAAATGGATCCTGGGTCGGGCTCCGAATCAATGGCCAAGGCCGAGAGGGGGAGGGGTCCGAGGGGTGGAGCTGCAATCGGCTCTGTTGAACCCAAGATCTCGGCT